TCTCTTTGAGATAAACAATCCAACTTTCAACAAGAAAACCGATGTTCTTTCTAACAACTGTTACCCACCATTAGGAGATGAATTCTTTAACAGTTTGGACAAAAGCATCCTTTAAAAAAACACATCCGTTAGCGTAAAATAAGCTTTCAGCAATTAGAGTACCATTTACCACCATAAGTAACCCTCTTCCCTTTGTAAAGAGGAAAATCTATCATTTAGAGAAAGTGATATTTTCATCCTAAAGAGGAAAAAGAATTGTCCATTCTTTTAGAGTTGAAGTCTTCGGTTTCTGAAGATGAATCTTCCATTCTTAATCTGATGAACTTATCAATACTGCTGAAGAATCAATACAAGTGAAAAGAATCATTATTTAGAAATGCAACATTATATCACCGGAATCCATTTATATGCCGAAGAAAAATATTTTAGGAAGACTGAGTCTGGTTGCTTGAAGGGTAGATTTTCAAATAAATAAATGAAGAATAAGTACAATCACAAATGCCACAGTACGCTTAGAGTATTCTGGTCTTTAGAAATAAGCTTAAGTTTTCAAAGAAGTTAAACTGCGGAACTAAAGAAAGTCTAATAAAGTATGAGACCATAAGCATTTAAAATATGATTTTTCCATGCGCTTTTGGGATACAAAGTATATCACACAGATTTTGACATCCAAAAGAGTCCTGATCTCGAGGAAGGCAAGAAAGAGCACGAAAACGTTTTGAACAAAGTATGATAAATAATACCTTGTGAAATCTTAACTTTTATCTCGTTCCAAGAATTTTCTTCTCTGTAACTGACACCCACATTAAAACTGAGAGACGGCAATGTGCCACTAAACTGGGGTTGGTTAATTGGGGATAGTCCGTTAGTTTCCAGTTTTTTCAATTGGGTAAGAAGTGTTTCAGTCATTCATTTTACTTGCTTTTGTAATGAAATGGAAAATGCATCATTCTGACGATATGAATATCTTGAATTCGATATCTGTCAAAGGCATCGTTTTATTTTTTTGTAATGCCTGCAGTCAAAAATTCTTCTGCTTTGCGAGACTGGAAACTCTTATACATAAAATTAAATTTCATATTGTGAAATCACCGGAAGAACTTTACATGTTTACATGTTAACTTTAAGTTTTACATGTTTAAAAATATGTTTATATGCTTAAAAAATATTCTAGTAACCAAAATAGTGAACCATCTGTAAAAATCCGCCTACGGTTTGAGATGGTTTTAGTCTTCTGCAGAAGCGGTTATCCCTTGCAGAGGATGCTGAAATTTATTTGTGTTCTTAAAAATACTAGTCACTTCCGAGTCACTTTCCATCGTATAAAGGCGGTCGCGACGAGAAATTTCATCGTATCAAAAAAAGAAAAAAGGGAAAAAATCATAAAACCATAAAATTTATTGCAATGGCTTAATATTTACCATGGCTATCCTGGTCTTTGCTTTAAATAGCTTAAAATAAATAAATAATAAAAGTACGCTCTTAAGTTATACGTTTTATTCTATATCTGTGAAAAAAATGCAAAATACATTTGAGAAATTTCAGTTACTGAATAAAAATATACTACAATACACTCTCTCCAATTACATTTCAAAATGTATTTTTATTGAAAGCATTATCCACCACTGGTTTCTTACCCTCTTTGAATGGCATAAACTCCTCCCAGGTATCCTTTGCAAATAAAAAAGCACTTTCCCTAGCCTTACGAATAAGCAAGAGATTGTTACGGAAAAATTCAAAATACTTCTCTTACAAAGACCATTCCCTAAATAAGGCAAAGACTGCAAGGGAGTTTTGGGGAAAGAAAATCACAGGAAAAGCTGTTCGTAGGTTGATTTTTGCAAGGAATGCATTCACTCACAAATCATGCCTACAGCGCGCTAGTGTGTGATAACGGAAATTAGCATATTCATGAGGCTGCGTTGCCGGCATAAATTTCAAGCCCTGACAGTCCTCCACCGACACAATGCACTCGTCACCAGAGAGATCATTCTCCAAAACTTTTTATCACACACCAGTGGATACGATGCATGGTTTCGGTATTCTTAAATCTCGATAAAGGGACTGCTCAGCCTTTGAAAGCTTTGTAGATCTCATTAAATATGTCCTGAAAATTCTTGTGCTTTTCCACTGATAAAATATGGAAAAAGGAAAATGCAGTAAACCCTACTTTAAAACGTGCTCCACCATAGTTTTCTGATTTATGTTCGCAGTGTAATTTGGAAATGATATCACATTTTATTCTGTGCTTTACAATCTGTTTCTCGTATGGTAGGACTGCTGTATAATACTTGTCATTGGAGTAAAGTCATAACTCAAGTTTATTCTAATTTTTCAGGCTACAGGTTGACATTTCTTAAGTTTTGCAATCTAAAAGGATATGAGCGATGTACATAGTTTACGAGTTCTAAAAGATCTAAGGTAATACAAATGCTGTTATGAAAAAATAGTTTCATGAAGTTTAAATTCGTAAATTCGTATTTTAAGTTAAAAAATATCACTTCAACATCATTTTTCAGAATGTCTTTCATAAATACACTTTATTACATATTTAAATTTTCTATAGAGCATATACAGTGATGTCTATTGCCAGGGTTGCTAATCTACGTATATCCGTATTATATATCCGTATTACAGAACGCCTCATTAGAAATAGTTATGGTTGAATCAAAACCTAAAATGCCTGTGATGACACTATAAAAGTCCCAAACGTGCATTAATCTTGTGCATATTGTGCATTAACCTAAAATGAATACAATAAAAACAATAATCATTATAAAAATTTCATTTTTATCATGGCGATTCTTTGCAGATTGTCGATCTTTTGCCGATATTGATTCTGCGCCTTATCGATGCTACCCAGTATCGAATCTCTGCAATGTCGATCCTGTAAGAATTGAAGGGCCATAGTATATATACCATAGTATATGCTTCTAACTGTCCTGGATTAATCGGACCTGATATAAATAAAACAGGATTATTTTAGACCGAGTTGTGAATGTATATTATGCAATTTAATTGTATATCTGAATAAATCTTTCGTTTATATAAAATAACTTTCGCTTTTAAGGGTACAAAATATTATGCTGAAAGGTAAAAATAGTGTGAATGATTATGCCATAATTCTCCATAATGAATAATTTTGTAACCCAGAACCTTCTCAGCTTAAGTTTGTTGATCTTGTTACCCTTGACACATTGTAAATCATAAGGAAAATCAGACACCCTTGAAGATGTTGACTTGCTTGTATTAATGTCGTTTTGACGTCAGAGCCATTCGATTCACATCAAATTAATGAGAATGAATGAAATGAAAAGCGTTAATGGCATCGAAAATACTGCCTCGGCAATTATCATAATTTAAACATTCTCACATAAGTTTCCTCAGTTTGTTGCTGTGGGTTAATAACGAAAGTCGTTTTCCTTAAAAAAATAGTCTTATTATATGGCAATGTCTTTCGCTGCATTAAGGATAAAGAAATTCAAAGGAATGATGCATTTCGTATTCTCATTTAATGGAAAAAAGGTCTTTGCTCTGCCAATGTGGCCTTTTTTAATGATCTGTTCGGAGTGCTAAAAATGTAGCTATGTTTTCCTTAAAAATTGACCTTAAGCATATACTTGCGATAAGTAAAATTCATGAAAACAAAGAAAGGAGTTTCAATTCATAAATCCAAAGTTAAATTTTTATATGACTTCTGCAAATAAAAAAAATCTAATTAATGAAATATAAATTCTTTACACCTTTAATAAATTGAATACAAAATGCTCCTTACCTTTATGCGAAGCAAAATTTGCAGAAATATTACAGAACGAGTTTGTTGGCTCAGAACACTTTTAAATTCTCATTAATAACGATTTTAACTAAATTTTGATTAGGTTAAGGAGAGTTACGAAATAAAATCTGTCAGTTTTGGTGATTAATGATCCTGTTGCTTGGTAAAATAGCATTCGGTGTTAACTTTGTAGTTGATCCCATGAAAGTATTAATAAAAAATATGGTCACGAATTTTGCGCATAAAAATGTTAGAGTTTTGCTCTATACATATTAAAAACTAATGAACATTTTACTAATTGAAGTTTTTTTTTGTCTACTGGAGAAATATAAAAAGTTGGATTTTTTTAATTAGAAATAATTTACTGAGGTAGCTGTTCTTTGATCTGTTCGACATAAATGAATGAACAATAATAAATATTATCATTTAATTCCAAGTCTCCTTTTATTTTCATGCTAGAAGTTTAAGCAGATTTTAGGCATCAGTAAATTGTAACTCGTATTCTTACAGTGGAATACATAAAGTAAACTTGCTAATGCCCGAAAATATAATAACATCTGAAATTAAATAATTATATTTATTAAGAAGTCACATTTGATCAGTTAAAGGGCAGCCAATTCGTTACATTACGGAACGATTTCTACAGTCTTTCACTCACTATAATGCACCGTTTTCAAAAATCACCTGAAATTACAGTGTTGTAATTCTGGCAAATAAAAGAGATCAAAATTATACTCGCTCGTAGTAAATTCGAGATATTGTTTATTTTATAAATAAAACATTTTTCGGCCTGCAGATGATAAATAAATTTAATCTGAAGCGTAATTATAGAAATTAATCTTGAATTTCCATAACAGTGGTCAGCTACAATTCCAAAATATTTTTTCAGCTTAGTTTTCGAAGGCATTCAGCTAATTTCAAAATGCATTCATTGCCTTATAATAGAAAGAAATGTCAGGAAAGTCTAGCGACTCTCAATTTGTAAACAATTATTGCCAACTGTTCTTTGTCTTTATTTCTGAAAGATATTCAACGCCTAAAGGTTTTCCGTGACTTATTTATTTATTTTATATACGAAAACAATTAAACTGGGAAAATGAATCATCATTCAAAATAACGAGTTTGTAAATCCTGTTTATAAATGCTAATTCTTAATTTTATTAAATCATTAAACAAGTTATTGCTGACTAAGAAAATGTACATTATATCGTTCTTTTCCTTGCAGAGTTTTTTCCTCCAGCTTCTTTGCGCTTTTAAAGAATGAAAAATGCTTTCGTCCCTGTGATGCTGTAAGAATACAAGATCTTCGTCTGCTGACTAACTTAAAAGTTGCGGAGAGGAGATTATTTTGAAGCAAGATTCTGAGATTCTGAATCAGGAGTCTCGAAAGTAGCGTATATCGACCCTACGACATGATAAAACGTGGCGAGGGGTCAATGAAATCCCAGACAGTGATTTTCAAACAGTGTATGGAAGCATTTCGTCGAGAGTTGAAAGCGGGCAAGAAATGTTAGAAAAGTGAACCTAGTTGTAAATATTCGACAAAATAAATGAAACTCGAGGCTTAGATTGTTTGCAAAATTCGATGTAATGAATTTAGTTAGAAATAAATGAATCAGTTTATTACAGATATCACATTCTAGTCTGAAAAAAAAACTCAGATCACTAAGAATTAAAATAAATGTTTTGCTTCCATTTTTAAATAAAAGTAATGCCAGCTGTTACTATCGAATAAACCAAATACTTTCAATTAATTAAAACCAGAAGAAAGAGATCTGTAAACGGTTGAAGTTTATATATGGCTACAGAATTTTATGTTTATAATGATATCATGTTGAATTTTATGTTTAACCTAAACGACATGTTAGAGGACTAAAAAGAAATTCTATAGCCGAAATACATGAAGCATCTTACTTTAATTATGTTGATGGTGTTTATAATTATACTAATGGCTCATAAAATAACACGTCTTTGTAGAACATCGTTAGTTTATTTCCAAACAACAATGCAATTACTGCAAGGAACATGAATGTATGAATGTTTCTTTAATCCAACACTGAACAAAGATATTATACATGCACACACCAAGGGATCAAGCTCTTGCATATTAATCTACACTGGTTGTTAGATTATTTGACAAAGAACATGAGGCATAGCTGCCTAAGAAAAGAAATGGCCTTTTTAGGAACTTTCCTTTCTGAGGTTTTTTTTTTTAAGAAAAACCGTTCATATTCACGTTACGTAAAGGAAAACTGACGAAAGCTTTCTTGCAACCAGCTCCTTTGTTGGAATCCGAAACGGGGTCGAGTTAACAGCGTTCTGAAATACAGATCCTGCATATTCGTGGAAAATATTACCATATAAGCACCTGACATATATAAAATGTAATTTGAAAAATTATGATTACGGTAATAGTGAAAGGAATGATGATAGCAGTAATGTTAGTAATTATACAGTAAATACTCATAAATAAAACTAATACTTCTTTTGATTTTTAATTTAGTAATATTGTTATTATTCCATTTAACTGTAAATATGTTTAGCGATTTAGATAGAAAATATTTTGCAAAATTCTTTAAGGCATTATTAGCTGCCTATAGCTCATGTTGTTGAATCTAACAACTTCAGACATTCGTGAGTGATGCTGACATTAAATAAGCCAATTTATTCGCATATGGCTGGAAGAGTCAACTGCCGTCAGTTTCTACAAACTGGTGATATGCCTTGACAGTTTTAGGGGCTTGCTAAAAACGTTGTTAATTGGAAAAGACTTACAGTTTACGGGGAACTTGATGTCGAATTGAATCTTAGTTTGGGAATCGATTTAAAGTTTCGAAATAGAAAACTGACGAACTAACGTTATGTACTTTGATTTTTCCATAATTCAATGGCTATCTATATATACCTTTTGAAACGAGTATATGCAGCACAATAATTGTATTCACTTGAGCCTGCATACAGAAATGACTGTTTGTTGCGCTTTCAGAATAGACAATATGTTCATTAGTATTCTCACAGACTATATAATCCCTTCTGTTTCAGAAAGTGAGAGCAGTAGGGAATTACTTAAATTATCAGCTGCAATGTGTTGAATATAACGGAATGATAATAAACGCAATTATGATTCGTTATACTGGCTTGTCTTAGGTGGTTAGCTACCTTAACTGCGGTATTTGAAATACTAATGATAATACACTGAGTCGATTATATGCCTGAAAAATAACTGGATCGATTGAATAAATTAAAGTATCACTCACGTTGCTTAGCTGTTAATGAATTTGTTAAATTTATGTAATTGGTATGGTTTTAGGTATTATTCTTTTTATCTTTAACATAGGGAAATTCGTAATTTAATACCATCGGAATCAATCTAAAAGTCTCTTAAAAATTAGTAAACAATTCCAGCGTATTCAAAGTACTGTACATATATTAAAATATTTTTATGATAGATTAAGGCACTATCATTATTTGTAGCGTATGAATGAAGATTTAGGTTAACTTAATTTCACAGCGGCTAATCAATCGAAGACTAGCTATTTAAAAGAGATCTTCCCAGATATTAGTGAACCTAATAAGATCATGATTTTCCGCTTGGGAATCCGATTTTGAGGAAATGGAAGCCTTCGTCGTAACAAAAGATGTGACTGCCCGTCTCTTCTAAGACAAAAGAAGACGAAAGTCAAAAGAGACGAAGTTTTTCCGCTTGGTAATCTGATTTCAAGAAACTGAAAACGTTAGGTACAAAAAACAAAGTGGCCGCCCATGTGTTCTGAACTTGGACAAAATGAACGAAGTTATGAATAAAATGTTGCAATCATCAACAAAGGGTGTGAGGCAGATGACATAGCAATGCGTTACGAACTAATGCTAATGTTAACTAGCTACTGCACCAATGTTCTGTTTCTAAGAGAGAAACCTATGTTTTGTTTCTATACTTTGCCGTAAAAATCATGGGCACCAATGCAGTGTTACTACTTCCTCTTAGGGAGGAAACTAATGCAGAAACAGACAGGTGAAACCGCAACTAACTAAAAAGCAACTGAGAAACTAAACTCTTAAGAGTTTGCTAATTACCAAACTTTTAGTGATCGTATAAGTGAATTTTTAATGCATTGCGTTGTGAAAATGCATCCGAGACCGCGCCGTGAGAGGATCGAATAAACAACATGTAAAATCAATAATTATATATTAGAAAAACACATAAAAGATATAAAGAAAACATAAGTAATAGGTTTCCAGATTAAATACCAGTTTATTCAAATTCCTCACAATTAAAATTAAATCTTATTCTAATCAGAGAGTCAAATTTCTTATTTTTGTCACAGTTTCAATTTGCTTATTCTAGACACAGGGGAATTCTTCAATTTGTCATTTACCTTTGTTACATTTCAATTCATGATTTGCAAATCTATTACATGACTCTTTTAATTTAACGGGTATCCGTTCTATAATTTCTAAGAGGTTAAAGAAAACATATTATTTGCAATTCACATCTGTTCTAAGTAAGATTACACAAACAACTTAAATTATTACATCCTAATTCAAATAAAGACCTTAAGGTTTGTCTCGGTCAATTAAGAAGGGGAAAGGGAAACAATTGAAAGCCTGAGAATTAATTTAAGATTCGACGTTGTTTTTACATTCCAAGGAAGTTGTTGAAACCTTACTTAAAGTTCAAACACAAAAAAAATAGAACTTATCTTGTGGTGTACATCTTGAAGTGGAGGACTCGTATCCTAATGAGAGTTGACGTCGGCGGAGATTATCTATGGTTGCAAATGGAAGTTTCAGAGGACATCGTCCTGTCCTGGCACTATTGGCGAAACAAACACGGCAGGTAATTGGTTTTCATAACGACGAAGCAATTTTCACTCTGGAAAACAGAAACAGGAGCACTGCTGCCCAGTACGGCTGTCCGCCTGGTCTTGAAAGTCTTAAGTCACTCGTCCGGTTCAATTTCGCCTTTTAACCAGAACGCGGCAGGGGAACATGTTTGCAGCTCCCGGCCGGAAACGTCTCTCTAGGCAATTACAGCTCGCCTTTTCTCGCTCATCCCAAGAGCAAGCTCGAAGTTACAATCTTAGCCCAAAAGTAAGCAAGTCCACCCAGTAAGTGATTCCAAGAGTAAGAACAGTAAGTGAGTAAAGTCTCTCGCCTCTTAGTCAAAACAAGGCGGGGAGCATATTTGCCGCTCCCCGCCGGAGCAAACGTCTCTCTTCGTAAATTACATCGTTGTTTCGAACGCTCAATCCCAGAGCAAGTTTCAAGAGTAACGTCCAAAGTAGGTTCCGCAAGCAAGTCTCGCACGAAAAGTGGTTCAAACTCGAATTTTCTTCCTTTCCTCCAAAAACGCGGGCTCCCAGTAAGGCTTCAATTATCGCCCCCTTAATTTTGGCAAAATTTGCGATTTCAACCCCTGAATGCGGAAATAAGGGTGATCGCGCATGCGCGCCCTTCTTCACTTAGCCAACAACCGGACCCTCAATCGCCAAAACCTGAATGACTTACATCGAAAAGTCAAGTGGCAACTTCTGACCCTTATGTCACGTACTTCCTGTCCTAAGGTCAACTGCACAATGAAATTTCTTCTAGAACATTCTAAAGGACAGAAGAGCGCGAAATCATGACTTAGCAAAACTGCCTTCCTTTCCCTGCTTCTTTTCACAATGAATCAAAGCTTGTACAAAAATTGCAAATAAAAGAAAAATAAAGAATATTCTTTTAAACTAAATAATATTCCCAGAAGCATCTGTTTTTCCCCAAAATTAAAGCATTAAAATAAATAATTCAGAATCAAATAAAATTAAGATTTCCACAAATCAGAAAATCATTCACCTAGTTTTTATAACGCGATCAGACAAATTCTCTACACAACACTAAAAATGCTTGAAGTAATCATAAAAATTCGCTATGCTATGCTATCTATTCTACGTACTGTATCAAACAAACGAATTTTAAAGCCATCATGAAGTCCAAGCAAAATTTCAAGTGATATATTACTTGTACAGATGTGTCATACATTAATGCAATTTTTCATTAATATCTATTTTATAATTTCCACAGTTTTTGAAATTTTGATGCGCACGACTTTTGAATCACCCTGTATAATCATAATAGTTCTTATTATTTGTTTGATTATGGCAAAGCACACAAGGGCTGTCTGCTAAAGGGAAGTGATCTTTTATGGAGAACATACCAACCCCTTAAAGAGGTTCCCCTTCACGGTACATATTGTGAAAATCACAAAAACGCCCGTGCAGCAATTAGGAGCAACCCATCTCGTTCCCCGCGATTTGAACCTGTCTTGTCCTATTGGCCACTGGCCTATTTAATATACAATATGAATACGAAATGACGTATTTAGAAAGTTGTCTACGAAAGCATATCAATACTTTCGAAACTGGCCGTCAAGGTCTATCATCGTTGATTCTGATTTACCTAATAAATTCTCTTTTTCTTTTTAAAGCTTCTCTGCCTTGTAGGTTTCAAAATACAAGACCAGTTAATTTAAACTCACAAGAAATCCCTCAGATGAAAATTAAAGATCAAAACCCTCCAAAGCAGCTCTAATAGTGACTTCGTAGAATCTGACACAAATAAACCGTTGAAATGAGTCTTAAACCACGACTG